AAGTTTAATGATACTTAACTTTCTGGTCAAATGGGACCTGCTTTACCTTCTCTTTCCTGAAAAAGAAGGTTCGTTTAGTTAAAATTGTAAAAAACCCATAAAAAAAAAAAAAAAAAAAAAAAAAAACTGATCAAAAAACCCTTGACATAATGGCTCAAATATAGAAAAAATTCCCAAAGGGGTAAATTGTAATTTAATATTTTTTTTTTTCAATGTTTATGAGATTTTTTTTACTCTTTCGGTTTTAGAAGCCCTCTCCCAAACTTGTTCTCAGGGTCAAAAAAAATTTTTGGAAAAAAAAAAAATTTATTTTTTTTAAAAGAAATGATAGAGAATCTTTTTCCGATTGTAATGAACCAAAAATATAAATTTTTTGATGGAAAATTTTCGGAATTTGCTTTGAAAAGTTGGCGGTCTCGATGTATTTACACTCAGCGATTTGCCCATTTTTGACCCTTTTTTTCAGCCATTCTAATGTTCCGGCTCTGAAACAAGCTATTTCGCTGAACTCTGTTCTATAAATTTTGAGTACAAAAAACGCCCTTTACAATTTAAAAACTACTAATAAGGGGTAAAAATTTGGAAATTTGGGCCAATTTCACAAAAAATTTCAAAAGGTCCCAAATTTAAAAATAGGGGTCCAAAATAAATAAGCAGACATTTCCTGGCATTTAAAGTAACATTTTATTTTCACATCATGTCCCCATCCCCTTCTTACATTACTTTTGCTTTCATTTTGAATTTTTGTCTCAAAAAAAATAAAGATTTATGTTATGTATATTTTGCTCATTTAATAATGGTTAAATAATATAGCGACTTGTGAAAAAATATTAGACTTTTAAATTTGAGCCATTGGGTGGGGTGTGTTTTGTTTTGTCTTGAAAATGGCAAATTTCGAACTTTTTGTATTTTGACTAAATTTCAAGGTACTTGTCTTTGGAAAAACAATCAAATCATCTCTATTCTGAAATTTAATTTCCATTTTATCAAATGAGCCAAAGAAAACGGAATACATGTACACCCAAAAATCCCACAAAAAATACACTGAAAGTGCTTTTTTTAAAAACCAAAAGTAGGTCATTTTTTTTTTCTCATTTGGATTTGTGTGCTGCAGGATTTTTTTTTAACTGACACACTAAATAAAACAACCCTTTATTTTTGTAGCCTAACAGCTTTCGTCACTAGAGTGAAGGCGTTAAAAAATTTTAAGTACTAGACGGCACCAATCCTGGTCGTAAGACATTTTAGTACGGACCACTCCTGAAAGGATTAACCCTTTGACTGTCCCGGGCGTATATATCGTCTTGGAGATACCCGGGTTTGAGTATCTTAAACATAAATTTAGCAGTTTAAATCAAGCGGGGGAGGGCTGGTAGGCCTACAAGAGAGAATGGGTCTCAGTGGTCGGTGTGCACCCTGTGAAAAAAATCTGGGACTCAGCGGGGATTGTGGGAAAAGCCCTGTTGGTAGTCCATTTTCAACCCGCCCCGCGGTAAAAAAGTTTTCCCCATCCTCGGCGGGTTGGAGGGTTTTTTTTTTCCCAATGATAGTCAAACGTTATGATAGTGCAGTGAAATGAATTCCCTGGTTTTGAAGGGGGTGTGACCCAAGAAAATTACCCAGGATAACTAATTAATGAAAACCCCCGTGACCCCACAACCTTTTACCTCTGGTGCTGGGCCCGGGTCGTTCATGTTCTCCCGTACCAGGACGAAGGGAAACTATTTCCCCTGTACAAGACTAGATGTGAGCAGGGGAAGGAAGTGAAGTGTTTCAAGGTTTTTTAAAAACAGTTCTGTTGTGACAGTGAGGGGGAATATTCCCCAGTGAAGCGGCAGTATAACATGCGCATGCGGTTGGTAGTGTGCATATGCCTTTTCCCAAGGGAAGGAGAACCGGGGCACATCCCGTGGGCCCCACCACGTCCTGATATGAAGATGCGTATTGTTTTGATGGGGAAAATGATGTGGTGAGGCAGCAGGCGGTGGGGTGAAGTGTGGTGGCATGAGTCTTGACACCACAGCGGGCCAGTACTACCCGCGTGTGACTCTGCACAACTACAACCGCCTCGCCCCACCCCCACCCCACAACCACAACCTGCACAACCCAAACCCCATTCATATCCGAACGCACCCGCTGACCCCATTGGGATTGGCAGCAAGATGACGAGTTTGTTCCCATCCCCCTGACTTTGATGGAGGAAAAAGTGGAATACGGCCATCATGTACACTTGGGAACAATCCCACTGAACTGGAATGCTTTCAGTTGTTCTTCGATGAACCCCTGATGGACATTATTGTCAGGGAAAGCAATACATACTATGAGTACACACATGGCAAACACTATTCTGTCACCAAGATCACCCCTACACCAGTGGAAGGACACAACTGTGGCAGAGATGTATCTGTTCTTTGCCACAATAATGCTTATGCCACATGTGTATAAGCATAGTTGTCAACACATACTGGGCGACAGACCGCCTGATTTCAACCCCTGCTTTCAGTGACATTATACCAGTGAATAGATTTGTGTTTACTTTTTTACTTTTTACACTTTTTCAGACAAAACCAGGCCTGACAGAAGCGACAGGTTATATAAGATCAGACGTGTGTTTATGTACTTGAAACAAAAGTGCTGTATGTATTTTTATCCCTTCAGGAAGCTTGTTATTGACGAGTCTTTGTTTTGTTCAAAGGAAGACTCTCATTTTAAGCAGTATATACAAGCAAGAGAAAAGCTTTGGTATAAAGTTATTTGTTCTGTTTTGATTGCAAAACTGTCTGGTTTTGGATATAATTTTTGTACACTGGGGTAAAACAATGGAAGATACCAGGAAGTTACTGGGTATCTCTGGTGATGGGTTAGAACAATGAGGAGCCATATCTTGGAAAGGGGCATATTTTATATACTGACAACTGGTACAAAAAGCCCTATACTCAGTGATTTCTTGTGAGTGAACATGACAGATGTGGTGGCACAGTGCGTAGAAATCGTAAACATATGCCCTTTGGGTTTTTATGCTGGGAGTCGTAGAGGTGAAGTGCAGGTGTTTGCTGCCAATGACATCATGGGATTTCGGTGGCATGACAAAGTGATGTCACACTGCTGACATTTAGTTCACCAACACGAAATGGTAGACACTGGGAAGCAGAATAGAGAGACCAATGAACCCATTGTAAAACCTGCAGCTGTGATGGATTATAACCTCATTATGCGCTTAGTGGACAACTGTGACATGCAGATTGGGTTTGCTGACTGTGTTCGCAAGAGTTATAAGTGGTATATAAAACTGTTTTTCCATCTTCTTGACATTTTCATGCTGAATGCTTATAATATGTATAAGTTGAAGACCAAGAATAAACCCAAATATGGTGAATTTTGTTTGTCAGTCATCAGACAAATAATATTCAAGTACCAAGAAACAACACCTGCAATAGACCAGCGCCCACGAAATTATCAACACATGTCCTCTCGTCTGAGGCCTGGTGATCACTACCCCATACCACTGCCTGCTACTACTGCCAAGAAAAATGCTCAGAAGAGGTGTTTTGTCTGTGGACATACACAAAACGCCCACAAAAAATGCAGAGGACACTCGTTTTGTTGTGAGGAGTGTAAGACACCATTTGTGTTATACCCATGTTTCAAAGAATATCCATTCCAGTGGAATTCCTGCTCTCAGGAGGCAGAGAAAAATACTTCAATATAACAACTAATATCAACTCTAAAACGGCTTAATTTATCTATCACAACTGATCTAATATGACATAAAAACAAATATAAAAACTCAGAACAGATGTATACCACTCTAGAATAAAAAAAGTCATTATGTGACGGTGGTGGGTAGCCACTCCCCCTCCCACTCTGACAATATCTTCCCATTTCTTTCCCTTCTGAAAATGAAGTGTTTGCGAGGCTAACTTCCTAGAACTCTTAGTTTCATAAGGAAAGCACAAACATTATTTATAAATAAGAAATGTTTTGTATAAAAACATAATAAAACATAATAGAGAATGTAAAGAAATAAACTGCCTTTATAAAGTGTACGTATTTACCCCCTTGGAGAAAACAATGCGGCAATGTCGAGGTGTGGTTGGAAAAGACAGATACTGTTACATTCTTAATGCTACACTATACTCTTCACATTGCTTGGCGGCACTATAACCTTTAATCGACTTCTCTTTGCTTTAGTACATACACATCTTAGAAATTACGGCTGGTACTGCCGACCAATCTAATACCCCACACCGCACCTGTTTTACGATTTCAATCTTCAATTCAATGGATACATCCTCTTTTTTTTCTTCTTCGAGCTTGTCCTTTGCACTTACTTTCTTAGGATTCATGGTTAGAAAAAGAAATTTGGCAAAATACTGCAACAAAACTCAAGCACCACACAAGAAAATGCTTACACGGCAGGTAAGACATGTGCAACTTCTGAGGGGGCGGATTGTGTGGTGTTCGCTGCGGCCAACAGTGCGGAGTTCTGAAGCTCCGCATCGTAACTCGGATTTTGGCTGTTACTCAGAGCAAAAAATCACACAAGCGACAGCTCGTAACTCAAAAAACCTCGTATGCTGGGCATCTCATAAGTCGGGTTTTCCACTGTATACAGTTTTGACCTACACTTACCTTTGTCCATCATCTTCCACCTGTCATCTTATGCTCCATTAATATTAAAAAAGACCAAAACCTTTATGGATTTCTTCAGGAAATTAAATTTTAACTTCAAGATTCAGTTTTTCCTTTTAATTCAGTGTAAAGTTTCAAAATACTATTTAAATTAATTAAAATATAGAAAATCTGCATTATAGATTGTTGAAAACATATAAAATATTCAAATTTTATGTAAATAATTCAGGCAATTTAACTCCTTCTGTATAAATTATTAAATTTAAAAGTGGAAAAACTTTCATTTTTCTTTTTAGGTCACCCTGCCTCAGTGGAATAGAGTCAGTTCATTAAAAAAAAAAAAAAACAGACAATGGACATGTTCTTACCTTGTCTGTCAAAATTATCTTCTCTCAGTATACAGACAAGTGCCAGGTATCGACTAACTTCTCTCAGGTAGAGTACAGTGGCATTGTTAAGTTTAATGATACTTGAACTTTCTGTGTCAAATGGGACCTGCATACCTTCATCTTTCCTGAAAAAGAAGGTTCAAGTTTAGTTAAAATTGTCAAAAATACCACATACAAAAAAAAAAAAAAAAAAAAAAAAAAAAAACTGATGCAACAAACCTTGACATAATGGACATCTAATATAGAACAAATTCCACTGGGTAAATTGTAAGTTTAATACTTTTTTTTTCAATGTTTACTGAGATGTTTTTAACTCTTTCAGGGTTGAGAAGCCCTCTCCCAAACTTGTTCTCAGGGTCGAAAAATTTTTGGAAGAAAAAAAATTATTTTTTCTTAAGAAATGATAGAGAATCTTTTTCCGATTGTAATGACACCAAAAGTATGAAATTTGATGGAAAACTTACGGAATTATGCTCTTGCAAAGTTGGCGGTCTCGATGATATTTACACATCAGCGATTTCGCCCACTTTGAGCCCTATTTTCAGCCACTTCTAATGTTCCAGGCTACTGAAATCATAGCTATTTCGCTAGAACTCTGTTCTATCAATTGAGTACAAAAAAACGCCCATTTACTAATTTCAACTACTCAATAAAGTGGTCAAAATTTGGCAATTTGGCCAATTTCACACAAATTTCAAAAGGTGCCAATTTCAAAATAGGGTCCAGAATAAATAAGACAGACATTCCTGGCACTTAAGTAACATTTTATCTGTTCATCAGTCATGTCTCCATGCCCTTCTTACATTACTTTTGCTTTCCATTTTGAATTTTTAGTCTCACAAAAAATAGAAGATTTACTGTTATGTATACTACTGCATCATTGTAATAATGGTATAAATAATATCAGCGCACTTGTGAAAGAATATTAGATCGTTAATTGACGTCTATTGGACGTGTGGTGTGATTTGTTTTGTCTTGAACATCGGCAAATATCGAACATTTTTGCTACTTTGAGCTCAATTTCAAGGTACTTGTCATTGTGAAACCAATCACAATCATCTCTATTTCTGTAATATATCTTCCATTCTATCAAATGAGACCAAGAAAACGAGAATACATGTACAGCCATAAATACCACATGAAAATACACTGAAAAGTTGCTGTTTTAAACCAAAAGTAAGGTCAGTTTTTTTTTCTCATTATGGATTGTGTGCTGCAGGATTTTTTTTATACTGCACACACTGATAAAACAGATCCATTTATTTATATGTAGGCCTAACAGCTTTCTGTCACTAGAGTTGAAGGCGTTAAAATTTACACGTACTAGTACGGCACCAATCCTGGCTCGTAAGACATATTAGTACGGCACCACTCCTGAAAGGATTAACCCTTTGACTGTCGCGGTCGTATATATACGTCATTGGAGATACCGTGTTTGACGTATCTATAAGCATAAATTCTAGCAGCTTCAAATCAAGCGAGAGGGTCTGGTAGGCCTACATAGAGAGAATGGGTTCCTCAGTGGTCGGTGTTGCACCCTGTGAAAAAAATCTGGGACACAGTTCATCAGCGGTGCAATTGTGGGAACGGCCGTGTTGGTAGTCCATTTTCAATACAACCAAGCCTCGTCGGTAAAGAAGTTTCCTCACTCCTTCGCGCTGCTAGGAGTCTTTTTTTGTTCCCAAGTGATAGCTCAAACAGTTATGATAGGTGTCATGTGAAATGAATTCCCTGGTTTTGAATTGGGGGTGTGACAAAGAAAATTACCCAGGATAACATAAAATTATTATGAAAACTCAGATGACCCCCACAACCTTTCCACCTCTGGTTGCTGGGCCGGCTCGTTCATGTTCTCCTGTAAAACCCAGGACGAAGAGGAAACTATTGCCCATGTACAAGACTCAGATGTGGTAGCATGCAAGGAAGTGATAGTGATTTCAAGGTTTTATTGAAAGCAGTTCTAGTTGTGACAGTGAGGGTGAATATTCCCCCCAGTGAAGCGGCAGTATAACATGACGCATGCGGTCTGGTAGTGTGCCATATGCACTTCCAAGAGTAAGGAGTACACTCGAGCACATCCCGTGCCCACACCACGTCCTGATAGTGAAGATGACGATATTGTTATGATGGTAAAATGATGTGTAGTGAGGCAGCAGGCGGTGGTGGTGATAGTGATGGTGGCAATGAGTCATTGACACCACAGCGTGGCCACGCTACTACCCCCCGCGCTGCTGACTCTGCACAACTACAACCCAGCCTCGCCCGACCCCACGACACCTACAACCACAACCTGCACAACCACAACCACATTACAACATATCCAGAACGCACCAGCTGACCGCATCTGGGATTGGCAGCAAGATGACGAGTTTGTTCCCAATCCCCATGAGACATGATGGAGGACAAAGTGGAATATGCCATCATGTAACACTTGGGAACAATCCCACTGGAACTGGAATGCTTTCATTGTATCTTCGGATAACCCCTGATGGACATTATGTAGCAGGGAAAGCAATACATACTATGAGTACACATGGCAAACACTATTCTGTCACACCAAGATCCACGCCTACACCAGTGGAAGACACAATGTGGCAGAGATGTATCTGTTCTTTGCCACAATAAATGCTATGCCACATGTGGTATAAGCATAGTTGTCAACACCATACTGGGTCGAACAGACCGCCTATTTTCAACCCCTGCTTTCAGTGACATTATACCAGTGAATAGATTTGTTGTTACTACTGTTTTACGTATGTTACACTTTTTTTCAAGACTAAAACCAGGCCTGACAGAAGCGACAGGGTTATATAAGATCAGAACGTGTGTTTATGTACTATGAAACAAAAGTGCTGTATGTATTTTTTATCCCTTCAGAAGCTTGTTATTGACGAGTCTTTGATTTTGTTCAAAGGAAGACTCTCATTCAAGCATACTATAACAAGCAAGAGAAACGCTTTGGAATAAAGTTATTTTGTTCTGTGTGCTGCAAAACTGTCTGGTTTTGGATATAATTGTGTACACTGGAGGTAAAACAATGGAAGAACCAGAAGTTACTGGTATCTCTGGTGAAGAGGTTAGAAACAATATGAGCCATATCTCTTGGGAAAGGGGCAATATTTTATTATACTGACCACTGGTACAACAAGCCCTATACTCAGTGATTTCTTGTGAGTGAACATGACAGATGTGGTGGCACAGTTGCGTAGAAAATCGTAAACAATGGCCTTGGTTTCGATGCTGCAGTCCGTAGAGGTGGAAGATGGCAGGAGTTTGCCTGCCAATGACATCATGGCAATTTTTTTTTTTTTTTTTTATTGGTGGCATGACAACGTGATGTCACATACTGCTGACAATTCAGTTTCACCAACACGAAATGGTAGACAACTGCAGAACAGAATAGAGAGAACCAATGAACCCATTGTAAAACCTGCAGCTGTGATGGATTATAACCTCATAGCGCTTAGTGGAGCAACTGTGACATGCAGATTGGGTTTTGCTGACTGTGTTCGCAAGAGTTTATTAAGTGTATATAAAACTGTTTTTCCATCTTCCTTGACATTTTCATGCTGAATGCTTAATAAATGTAATAAGTTGAAGACCAAGAATAAACCCAAATAGTGAATTTTGTTGTCAGTCATCAGAAAATAATATTCAAGTACCTAGCAAACAACACACCTGCAATAGACCAGCGCCCACGGAAATATCAACGACATGTCCTCTCGTTCTGAGCCTGGTGAATCACTACCCCCCATACCACTGCCTGCTACTACTGCCAAGAAAAATGCTCATAAGAGGTGTTTTGTCTGAGGACATACCACAAACGCCCACAAAAAATGCAGAGAACAACTCGTTTTATTGTGAGGATGTAAGACACCATAGTGCTTATACCCATGTTTTATTCAAAGAATTCCACAAGCTGCAGCACTTCTAGAAAAGTGTCCAGGGATTTGTACATATGTATATATATTATAAAACAATCCGTAATAAACAGTTGTTTACATTTTTTTTGTGTAAACAAGTTTTAGCAACATTATAATGATAAACGATGTTTAGCTTAAATTTGTGTTACATCAACGAGTGTATATTAACATTTGCACAAACAATAATTTGGTCTCCAGGCCACAAAAGTTTGTGAGAAAAAATAAAATAGTGAAAAAAGCAATGAAACCATCGAATACAAGTAAAACAAAGTTTTACCCCGGGTTGAACGGCAAGGGTCGCCCGTTGCCACTCTCCGCAATCAATTTCAGCAAACTTCAGGACCCCCCCCCCCCCTCTATATCTCGGTAAGTACCATGGGAAAAAATTTTTTTGGGAACTAAAGCAAAACATCATAAAAATAATTAACATTTTCATAGAAAAAATAATTTTTTTTTTTTTCGAATATTTGCGACACCAGGAGACACTTCAGAGGAGTTGGGTTGGGGCCCTCGACATCAAAGGGTTAATGAGTGTGTTATTGGAGTGCAGGCAGGATAGCCTTTATGAAAGGATTAAAAAAAAACAGTTAGCCAGACTTGATTCCATAAGGTGGGAAGAGTAGTGCCTGCACTCTTGAAAAAGAGGTGATGATGTTGCACTCGGAGTGTTATCTGATTGTGATGTCAGCACAATTCTGGGAAGATGGCAATTGAGTGAATGTTGGTGAATGCATTTTCTTCTTTGGGTCACCCTGCCTTGCCAGGATATGGCTGCTGAATTGTAAAAAACAATCTATAAACTGTGTGTTCAATATTTGATTAGGTATACAGTAGAGCACTAAGAGTACTTCAGTGCCTTTTCTGCTATTTTTTAACATTCTAATTTAATGAACACTTTGAGAAATTCCACATTAGTAAGTTATACTAAGGGTTTACTAAATCTTTCTTCTTTAACACACCGGCCGTATCCCACCGAGGCGGGGTGGCCCAAAAGGAAAAACAAAAGCTTCTCCTTGTACATTTAGTAATACATATAGAGAGAGAGATTTTGGGAAATGTTGAGTGAATGCGTGGGGAGTTTTGAATCAAGTGTGAGAGTAATGGTGGTTGGGGATTTCAATGCTAAAGTGGGTAAAAATGTTATGGAGGGAGTAGTAGGTAAATTTGGGGTGCCAGGGGTAAATGTAAATGGGGAGCCTTTA